AATATCAAGTTATGAAGTAAAGGCTAGAGAGAATGATTTGAAGGTCATTCATGCCTTTAAAGGTGGTAATTTAGTAAGGTGTAGCTAGCCGTTTTCATATTGTTCCCTCAGGATTCCTTACTACTAAGGAAAGAGTACGATGGCTTGAGGGCTCATAACAGTGACATAATTCTAGTGAATCACCAGATGGTATTTACCTCTACAGTAACGACCAGTTTGAGATGAAGAACAAACCAAACGTCAAGGAAACTTCTGCAGAGCCCTGATCATGTGGAGGGAGTTATGCCAGTTACCCCTCACTCGACATTGCCAAGCTGTTCAGAATTTATGAGGGGTTATAGGCAGGTCTTGTTCCTGCTTAACACACAATAACTCATCAATGGGCTCCTTGAAGTGTAACTCTTTGGTGCAGGCCACTGTTTGGATTTTCTCCAGTGAAATTGGATCTTTTCTTTTGGACTCCACGCCTCTCAATTGTGGCCTCATTCTTTTTCCTTCCTCAGTTGGTGGACTCGGGGGCAAGAGAAGAAAATAAAACTGGGCCATAAATATTCCCCAAATATACTCTGGTCTTACCACTGAAAGTATGACTTTTAAAAAATCTCAGAAGCTAGCATTTTGATAGTTGTTCTCTAGTTATGGTCTAACATGGTCCCCTAAAAACACAATGCTTCTATTGAGCATTTTGGCTAGGGAAGGGTGTCAGGTAAAAGTCAATGACTAGTATGAGAGGATAGTGTATAAGTTAATGTCCCAACCAGCTTTCTTGTCTTGAAATAAGGTGGTCACCTTATGTTGACTATAGAAGACAGGACCTTCTAGAATTAGACATCCCCTTGCCTCCTTTTTTTGTATTAAAATGTGTTTTAAAATAATACTTCAACAAACAATTTTAACCATATAGAACAATTAGAAAAATGTTAGGAGGGCAAAGGAATTTGGGACTACCCATGGATAAGAGGCCTCAATTATAGCAGCTGGTGCTACTTGGGACTCGACCAAAAACCAATTAGATAAGTTGACATGACTCCACTTCTGTAAGTCAATTTTACATTTTAATATTTTTTTCTGGCTTCACATTTATTTGGCCACTAGAAATATTGCAGCACAGGTCACACTATTCATATTCATTTAATGTTTTAGAAAAGACCAAGACATTGTCCTGAGAGAAAATGATTAAGTGTTTTATGAAATCCCTTGGGATGGTCTTACAAGAAGCTGAGGAATTACATGGCACTGGAATCACAGTGATGTCCACAAAGCATCTAACCTTCTAAAAAATTACTGAATTTCATATATTTGCCTTTTTTCAACCAAAATATTAATATGAGCAACTTCAAGATGTTTACATTGTGAGCCACCAAAAATTGTTTGACCTGAAAACATATATAAATGAGTAATATTATACAGACTGCATTTATAGATGAGCAAGGGGGTAAATGGGAGCAAAGGAAAGGAGAAACTATGTAATTGTATTAGAATCTCATAAAATAGAAAATTAAAGTGTTTTAAAAATTCTGTGATGAATAGAAGCTAAATGACTGAGCAGAGTGACCAGTACAGAAACACACTGTTTTCATTAGCTCTCCTTGGACAAGCACACAGGGATAGTTTATGACCTGTAGGAATAACCACAAAGGGAACAAATACATCTGCTACCCACAAAACATGTTTATGTCTCCAGTAGGAGATTGTATCATTTGGTCCCTCCAAGAAACAGACACCGAGTGGGCGATGTAGAAGCCCAAGAGGTCTATTAGGGGTCATCAGTAAGAAAGGAAAGAGGCAGCAAAATCACACAGAAGGAGACTTAGACCTTAGTACAGATCTGACAAAATCATAGCTGGAAAGTAGGGGAGCTTTGAAGCAAATATTCCCGATTAAATGAATTTTGTTTTGGGAGGAAATACTTAGGCCTTTGCTAGTCATTGTCCAAGGTCTGCCCAATATGGTTTGCACTTAAAAGCTGAGATGAGTCATGAACATTAATAGCTAGGGCTATCATTTAGCTTCACAAGTTTTAGCTCAGTGATGCACAATGACCTGTCAAGTTTGGTGGCAGAAATCTTTTGATTCTTTTATTCTCAAAGTGTTCCTATTGTCACAAATACCTGGCTCTGAAGTTATTGAGTGAAATGAATAACATACAGAAGACCCCGTGTCTCCAGTTAAATAGTATGTCTCTGATGCAGAGGTTGGTATGAAGTCCTAGACGACTCACTTTTTAGCAGGGATAATTTGTGTAGAGTAGGATTATAATCTGGGAATTCCAGGTTTACAAAAAAAATTGTAGCTCAATGGTACTGCACATACTGAGCATGTAACAGGTCCTGGGGCTTGCCCTACAGCACTGAAAATAAAATAAAAAGATTATCTCAGAAAGGAATACTCCAAATACTGTGAAGTTGGTGTGTCAAGAACGGAGACTCCCTAACAATGTGTCCCATACTCAAAATGAAATACCTGGACCATAGAATGAAATTCTATAAATCTGAATTCTACAAACTGATTGGGACCTCAGAACTATACATGCCAATGTAGTCTTTCTCTTCTCTAGACAAGGACTCAAATTCACGATGCATATGAATTTCCTCAGAGGCTTTTACCCAAACTAAGTATTCCATGATGCAGCAAGTCCCTGGGGCTGTAACACTATATAGTACACCATCTTTTTTTCTGACTTTGTTTGTCTTGTTTTTATTTTATTTTGAGACAGAGTCTCTTTATGTAGCTTCGGCTGTCCTGGAACTCACTACGTAGACCAGGCTAGCTTTGAACCTTCAGCAATCAATCCAACTGCCTCTGCCTCTGGAATGCTGAGATTGAAGGTGTGCATCAACAAAACTGGTTGATCTTTTGATACTATTTTATTGGAATGCCATCTGGGAGACCTCTGGGGGCCCTTTTCTTCTCCCTGTCTGGTTCTAGTGTTGCCAGCATCAGTGAAACATATTTGCAACAAAAGCTCTGTTTTGGAATTGAAATGCCTCTGACAGGCTCATGTATTTAAATACTCGGTCCCCAGCTGGTAGTGCTGTTTGGGAGTTTGTGAAATCCTTAGGAGATGGGACCTAGCTGGAGGAAGTTGGTTCCTGGAGGGATGGACATTGAGGATATAGCCTGGTCCCACTTCAGTCCAAGCTGCTTTTTGACCCAATCACCATTTGAGATCTGTCAGATGCTCCTGTTACCACCAATTCACTTTATCTCTCCCTGCCATACCTTCCCTGTTACGGTGGACTGCCTCCTCTTAACCATAGCCCAAATAAACTTTTTAAATTTTTTTCTTCTGTTTATTTTACAACCTGGCTGCAGCCTCCCCCTCCCCAATCCTCCCCTCCCAGTCCCACTCCCATAAACTTCTATTCTTTTAAGTTATTCTAGGAATTATGTCAAGAAAAGACTAGACCAGGCCTATTGCCTACTCATTCCTTAACTTAAAACAACTGGTATTAGCTAGTTAACAAGTTCCAATAAAAGCCCTCCATCTAAGGAATAACAATTTGCATGAGCTCACTCCTCATAGCCTAATTGATTTAGATTGGAATAGAAGAATTTGGCCAACTCATCCAATGTTTTATAAAGTGTTAGTGAACTTTTTTAATATATCGAGCTAACAATACAATGTTTTTTTAATAACTACTGAGCAATTTTCCAGACACTGTATTTAAACCCATATTTTTTCTCATTTAAATCTTCAACTACAGTATGCACAATTAGTATAAACAAACTAAATATGAGAAGCCAGGTGTACAGAGATTAAATATTTTCTCTAATTTACACCATCTGGTAGGATGTAGAGCTGGGGGCCAGGCGTGGTGGTATACACTTTTAATCCCAGCACTCAGGAGGCATAGGCAGGTGGCTATCTGTGAGTTTGAAGATATCCTTGCCCACATACTGAGTTCCAGGCCAGCCAGGGCTGCGTAGTGAGACCCTACCTCAAAAAGAAAATTCCTCAGAAACAATAAAGATTGAAATGTAGAACTGCCCGTCAAATCCAAGAGGTCTGTCTCCAGAACCCTTGCTCTCAATACGAATCCCAAAGTTTTGGACCTTGCTGAGTTCAATTGTGTCATGCAGACATGTTGTATGTGCAGCTCCCAGAACCTGTTATATCTGCACACACCTCCCACCCTAAGAACATGCAGTTACCAGTAGAACTGAAATGCACAGTGAATGCCCCCAATTGAATTCATCCTTTCTCTCCATTAGTTTTAATCATTGTCCTACAGTAGATGTTTATCCTTTTTACACATATCCTCCCCTTTTTGCAGACAGGGTTTCTCTGTGTAGCCCTGCTTGTCATAGAACTCACTCTGTAGACCAGGCTGGCCTCGAACTCACAGAGATCTGCCTGCCTCTGCCTCCCAAGTGCTGGGATTAAAGGTGTGTGCCACTACCACCTGGCTCACACATTTTCTAAATGCTACTTTTGTACCATTCCGTGTAGGGATGCCTTTCACTATAAATATAAAATACTGGTGGTTTTTCCTGTTTTTAAATGTCATATACAAGCATTTGATAGGGACACATCAATAGGAGCACTGCATATTCTACATTATAAGAGTATATTTGTACTTCACATTTGGTAGGAAAGAATCTAAACTTAAACTTTGGAAGCATTTCAGGAAATATATACTGCTAACAGTGTGTTTGTTCTGAGGTAATATGGAACACTTAGGAAACCTAAGGGTCTGCCTTAAGGATCTCTGATTCAATAGGTCTGGAGTAGAGCCCCAAAATGTATATTTCTAGGGAACTGCCAGCTGTTGCTGTTGCTAGTGGTTCACACTAACTCATTATTAGATCACTTAGTACCCGGGGAAGCTAGGTCCTTTTGTGTTCAATGAAATGCATTAAGAACTAGACTTCCATTTCTCACTGTCAAGAGTGGAAAACAATGAATTTTAGTGCCAGCAAGCTGAGGCAAATCTAGAAAGAAAAGATACAAAAATAGATTGGAGTCGCTGTTGTTCACATAAACACTCTGGAGCGTGTGCAGCACAAACAAACTTTTATTTTGAACATGGCCAAAAGCATCCATGAAGTGAGTGGAAAGTCACCTGTCAGCAGATGGCCCTTCTGTGATGAACTGTAGAACAAAGTCAATTTTCAGAAAATTAATAACTTTTTTCTCCCTCTTTCTTCACACATTTCTTCCTTCTAAGCTTTGCAGCTGTAGGAAGAAATAAGATAGAAACAATATTTTTATGGCATCAGAAGACTCTAATTTAGATTTTCTAAATCTGGTCAACTCTGGTATAACTATCTCCTCTCAGTAAGAAGAAACTAATACACTTTCTTCTTGAGATACAGACCCTTACCTATCAGGTGCTTAAGACTTGGATGGCTTTACAAAGCCATCCTGGAAAGAAAAAAAAAAGACTAATGGAGAAAGGGTGGCAAGGAGGAGGGGAGTGGACTATGTAGGGAAGGTACCTGAAGTACACTGTATATGTGCGTGTAATCTTATAGAACATGAACAAAGCATTTGAGGGCATCAGTCACATTGACTTCATTGCCCTTCTGTCCACCACTACAAACGCTCATCTATTTCTCTCGAGAGCCTGCTCTGAATAATGCTGTCTGCCTGTGATCACTCCCCAAACCCTGCATATTCCTTCAACCTCCCAGGATCTCAGTTTCAAGTTCTTTAAAATAAGAGTAAGGCTGCTATCTGACACTCAGAGACACTAAATTTGAGCAAGGCAGACCGAGGTGAATAGAAGGGGATGGAAGATTCCATTCTTAGTTCAGTAGTAAATAAAAATCAGCCTAATTTTGTTTGACTATTCCATGAAATATACAAAATATCAGCTAAACTAATATGCATTAATCATGAAGCGTGGTTTCCCCTGAAACCCTTAACTTTTTAGTATTTTGTGAATAATCAGCCCTTTCAAAGTATTTTTAGTATGAAAGACTACATTTCTGTGGCCAAGAAACAAAGGCCAAAATTCCCTTGGTAACCTTTTTCTATTGGTCTCCATTACCAGGTGCAATCAATTTCCACTGGTAGTAGTCTTATAGCTGAAGGATAAAGGACTTATAGCTGGTAATGAAAATCCATATAAAATATATTGACCTCTGTGTGTATAATCACACTATTAACTTCAAACTGCTTATTAAACTATAACATAATACTTTAACATAAATCTCCCAAAAGTTGGGGTGTATCATAAGTGGTTAGTTAATACTATGCTCCTCTCCCTCCCCCCTCCTCCGGAGACACTTTCTCTGTGTAGCCCTGCCTGTCCTGGAACTTGCTCTGTAGACCAGGCTGGCCTCAAAGTCACAAGATCCCCCTGCTTCTGCCTCCTGAGTGCTAGGATTAAAGGCGTGCGCCACCACTGCCAGTCAGTGGTTAATTACTACTAAGAGCTAGAAGTCTATACCTGTGTTCCTCAGGGAAGTAGCATTCTGGAGAGTTCCTGTCCTGGTAGTCCCAATTCTTGTAAAACCATCCTTCCAAGTCGCCATTTTCTTCCTTTCCCCAATGCTCCTCATCGGCAATTCCTTCAAATGCGTCATCTGAAGAGTCACACTCACATGCAGCTGGCTCATCAGTGACCACTGATTGTGACTCCAGAACGTCAAGGTCATGAAAGTAATAATACATCTTATACTTAACTTCCTCCTTCAGGAATCTATTAACAGTTAAAACTGGGGAACAGAGGTGTGAGGGGAAAGTGAAAAGACTGTCTGGATCCTTCTTAGTAACTGCTACAATATTTCTATTACTCTCACATTCTCCACCTTTTAAGTTTTCCTGGTGACAACTTTTCCCTCCTTCAAAACACTAGGTTTCTCATTTTTTTCTGGACCGTGGAATGAAAGGAGATCCAAATCATATCTGATTCTGCTCTGTATGCTTTTAGCAGAAGTTCATGGAAAATGTATACATCTGAGGCTGAGGCAGAAGGATTGCCACGAGTTCAAGGCTGGACAGGGCAACATAACAAGACATTCTTTCAATGGATGAAAAAGGCTGTGGAGAGAGTTCACTCAATACCTGCCTTGTAAGCATGAAGATCTCAGTTCCATCCTTTGAACCCACCATATACATTAAATGTATTTCTATTAAATATAGTTATAGAATATTACACACACACACACACACACACACACACACACACACACACACACACACAGAGAGAGAGAGAGAGAGAGAGAGAGAGAGAGAGAAATAAAGGCCTGGTGGCTGTCACTGGTAATCATAGGGTCATGGAGGTACAGAAAGGTGGATCACAGGGAATAAGTGTCTAGTCATCTGAGCCTAATCTGCAAGTTCAAAGTCAGGGAGAGAGAGATCCTCTCTGTCTCTGTCTCTCTCTGACTCTCTCACATACATACACACACACACACACACACACACACACACACACACACACACACACACCCCCACCCGTGGGTGGTACCTGTGAGTCAATACTCAAAATTGTCCACTGGCTGGCCGCTTATATATGTGAGTACACTTTCACCTGAGCCACTAAAAGAGCAAAAAATTAAAAAGTCTGAAGATGTACCTCAGTAGCAGCCCATGTGCCTAGCAATTTGAGGCTCAGAAATGCAAATTAAGTAAAAATAAAGAAGGAGGGAGGATGGAAGAAAGCAGAAAGGGGGATGAGGAAAAAAGGGTTCATTTGCCTTCACTTTAACAAAACCATGTTAGGTGCGAACTTGCTCGATCCTTGAAGATAGAACTAATGTATCTTTTAAGTACCCTAGTAAGTTACTAATTTTCATGGATTTATCTCAGAGGTTAATTTGAAGGCAGCTTACTTTTTTTCCTCCACATTACAGGATCTTTATTGAATTGGGCTTCTATTTGAGCACACTGGACTCCAAGTTTCCAGAAACTGGACCATCACTTAATCAGTACTGACAAGTTCTGAGCATTGAGGCAGAAGTGTTCAAAACAGCAGCAAGGGTGGAGGAATTGAGAGCCACTCTGCGTCTGCAGCTGCACAAACTTGGTTTGGCTAGATTCCAGCCATCTGCAGATGTCTGGCCCTCCTGCCCTTCAGTCTAGGCTGCTCACTGTTCTACCTTCTGAGATGCTGCCTTGTTTGTGGGGTTCTATGCCTCCCAGCCTGGTAATCCCTCTCCTGTGTAGTCACCTTCCCATTCCCCTGCCCATAGCCTCTTCTTCAGGGCTTCACATCCCAGTGTAGTGCCTGCTGTCCACGTGACACTTGTGGTGCTCAACCATACTAAGAATAAGGTCTTTCCATTATATAACAGTGAAGAAAAAATTCTATCATAATCTAGAATGAGGACCAAAACATAACCATAACTTACAGACACTAGAAGTTCCTGAATCATCGCTGTCATCAGCGTCGTCATCTTCCTCCTCCTTGCTATCCTCTTCATTCATGTTCTCCATGAAGTCCAAGTCCTCATAGAAATTCTCACTGAACTTGAACTCAAATACATCATCGTCTGCATACTCATTCAATTCATATTCATCTACCTCCTCTTCTTGCTGCTGCTCTTCATTGATGGGTGGAGGCTTCTGCAACATGGCGATGTCATCCACCTCCTGCTCCTCCTCCTCATTTTTCCAAATGGTTTGCAAGATTATCTAGAATGTTAGGAAGCCTATAACTCCCACAAAGACAAGCCACTCAAGAAAAAACAGAACTACTATGATAAATTGTTCCCTCAGGTCCAAGTCTTCATCGCTACCAGCTCTGGTGCACAAGCCACCTACAGCCCAGTCTTGATAGCTGATGTAGGCCATGTCACATGGGACACACGGGGACCAGGAGTTGTGCTAAGCTGCATTAAAGCTGAAGCCAACAGCAGCGGCAGCAGGTCACAGGACGGCAGCACATGGAGGATTGTGGAGCAGGGTTTAGGCACAGGGCATGACGGCAAGGGCAGAGGTTGGGGCCTCACACCCAAAATGAAGTCTCTGGAGGAGCCACCCACTATGAGTCTGCGCAGACGTCTGTGACCACGCCCAAGCGTGGAGGTGGAGAAAAATGAGAAAACCACCGGATATCCTGTGAGGTTAGCGGAAACTGCAAGTTACGGAAGGCCAGCCTCTGGCCTCAAGAGCTCTAAGCTCATTGGTTGAAAAATAATCATCTGCAGGGCGTTGGTGGCGCACGCCTTTAATCCTAGCACTTGGGAGGCAGAGCCAGGAGGATCTCTGTGAGTTCGAGGCCAGCCTGGTCTACAAAGCAAGTTCCAGGAAAGACGCAAAGCTACACAGAGAAACCCTGTCTCGAAAAACAAAAACAAAAACAAAAAAAAAAAAGAAAAATAATCATCTGCAAGCCACACACCCAATGAGAGATCAAGGTGCTCAGGGGGCTGGTAAGAGCTTTGGGAGGTCACATGGTCTTTTTAATTCTCGCGTCATCTTGATGGCTCTGCTGTAAAGTGTTCTCATATGGGGACCAGCTTGTTTTCCCAAGTCCCCTGGGACAGCTTGTAGCAGGAGGGACACAGGCTTTTAACATGAGAAAACACGGCTGTACGTTACCAGCAATCCCCAATCTTCATACTGAAAAGGGAATGATCATTTGGACGTGTTAACCATATTAAGGATTATTTTTTGTTTTTTTTTCTCTGTGTAACCTTGGTTTCCCTGGAACTCACTCTATAGACCAGGCTGGCCTCAAACGCACAGAGATCTACCTTTTCTGCTTCCCAAGTGCTGAGATTAAAGGCCTGTGCCGCCACCCCTGTGTTAACAGTATGAAAACTGCTCATGGCCATTGCTCTGCAAAACTCATGGGGAACTCGTGGCACTGAATATGATGGCCTGTCACTCCACAGATACCAGAGCAGCTGCAAGAAATTCGTGATCCAGTCTCACCCTCCACCTCCACCTCCACCAGCTTCGCCACACAAGCCATATTGGGTGGAGTCGTGCTAGTAGGTGGACACTGCAGGAGAGACTCACAGGTCAGGAGATTGCAGGAGGTGTGAGGGGTGGTGATGTTAATGTTGTGATATGGCACATAAGAGGCCTTGGTGGGTTTGGACCAAGGTGCCCCAAAGCGAGTGAGGGATGCCATGTGGATGCAGCAGACAGTGATGTGGCATGGTGGAAAGTTACTCACACCGCAGACATGCATCCATGTGGAAATTTTCTATTATTAAAGGGAGATTGAGGGAGAGGAGGGAGAGGAAGACAGAGCAAAGGGGAAGGGGTCCTTTCTTAAAGGGAACAGGATGACAGTCAGGATGCTGGGTGGGCCAGGGTATTATCTGCTATGGGTTAGGATTCCAAGAAGTGGGTCTGAATGCTAACAGGTGGCAAAAATTCCTGTACATTAGTACATAGTAGTCTCCAGGGGACTCTAACAGAAGGTCTTGTCTTTGCAGTGTGGATGCATGTTATTGACATTGGTTGGATGGGTCTCAATTCAAGGGTCTAATTTTAAGTGAGAGCACCAAAAAGCCAGCCAAATTTGTAATTATGGACTATTTTGCTCCCAGGACACAAATGACCTTAGATTTAAGGGTTTGTTTTTACATTGTGGGAGTCAGATGACTGATGAGTATTCTTTCTTTAAAAAAAGGTATCCTCACCTTACACACCTTACACAAAAACACTGAAACTGTACACATTAATGAGGTACCATATGTAGTATGGTAGACATATGTACTACATAATATTTTGGTTATGATAAACATGTCTAATTCTTTAAAATGTTCTCATTTGTTTCTGGTGAATACTTTCAATATATTTTTTAAATAGGAGGTATATCACTGTTATCTATAGTTACCCTACTGTGCAGTATATATGAGACCTTTTTGTCTTACCAATATTCATTGATCATTACTAGTTAGTAATGGGTTACACAAATAATGGATTTTACTATACCATTTCAGGCATCTATATGGTTTACTTTGCTAATAATCACCCCCATTGTGCTCTCTGATCCCCTTTCCACCTCCTTTGTCCCTTTCCTCTCCAGATGTAACTCCCTGCTTTCACGGTGTGTGTGTGTGTGTGTGTGTGTGTGTGTGTGTGTGTGTGTGTGTGTGTGTGTATACCAACAGTCCCAAGCCACCCATACATGTAGCACAAATTTTTTTCCATATGTCAGAAGCCATGTGTTTGTCTTTATTTTTCTGTCTCATTGTCCTCTTTTGTTTGCCCCTTTCTTCATTTTGGTTCCCCACCACTCTCCAAAAAGTCCCCTTCCTCCTTTCATGACTTTTTCTGTTATATTGTAATTAAGATTCTGCCTATGAAAGAAAACATGATATGGCTGTCTTCTGAGACAGTTTTATTTTCCTAACATGATGATCTCCAGTTTCACCCATTTCCCAGCTAATGATCTAATTTTGTTCTTTTAATGGCTGAATTTCCATTGTGTATATGTACATCACATTTTTATCCACCCATTTTTGGAGTTCAAGGTATAGTATATCTTGACTTTGTGAAAATTGCAACAATAACCATGATTTTCCATTGTACATACATATACCACATTTTTATACACCTGTTTTTGGACTTCAGTCTTGACTTTGGGAAAATTGCCACAATAACTGTAGATGTGCAAATATCTCTGTTATTTAATGATTTGTGTTCATTTGGGAGCATATGACCAGAAGCAAGAGAGATAAGACTTACGATAATATTTTCTAATTTGTGTAGTAATTTCCATAGTGTCTTTTCTAATTTAAATTACCATTAGAGGTGTATAAGGATACTATCCACACATTGTAGTACTTATGGGGTTTGTGTTTGTTTTTTCTTGATAGTGTACATTCTGACTGGTATGAGGAAGAAATTTTTTATTTTTGTGTCCATGATGGAAAGAATGATGAACATTTTCACATATTTTAGGCAGTGTTCTTTTGCTCAGAATTTCCCACATTTAAGATTCATTTTACCTGTGAATAAAGAAAATCATATTTTCAACTTTAAAACGTGAAACCCTATTATTTAGTTTTATTGCCTATTTGTCATAACTAAGATATTCAGTACAGTTTTGAATAGAAGTGGTAAAATCAGACCTTTTTGTTAATTCATTTGTTACATTTGAAATGGTTTTATTAGTCTTAATTATGTGGATATATGTGGGGATATGTGTAGGTGCCCACAAAGGCTATAGATGTTGGATGTGGGTGTGGATGTGAAGAGATGTATATGCCCTTAAAGATTTAGCAGCCCCCATTCGTTTTTATTTTTAATCTTAAAAGGAGAAGTTGGGTGAGTAAAGAAGTTGAGAAGACCTGGGAGGACTTGGGGGAGGGAGAAGAATATGATCAAAATATAATGTATGAAAATTTTAAATAAAAAAGAAGAATGCTTTAGGTGTTATAGAATATTATTTTAAGGGGCATTACTTTGGTTTATGTTGCATTTGTTTAACTCTGTGAAGCTGTATTGTTGTGCCTGTCTAAAATACCTGATGGTCTAATAAAGAGCTGAATGGCCAATAACGAGGCAGGAGAAGAAGATAGGTGGGGGCTGGCCGGCAGAGAGAATAAATAGAAGGAGAAATCTGAGAGGAAAGAAGAAAGACTAGGGAATGAAAGAGGGAGGAGGAGGACTTCAGGGGCTAGACACCCAGCCACCCAGCTACACAGCCAAACACGGAGTAAGAAGGAAAGACAAGATATACAGGAACAGAGAAAGATAAAAGCCCCGAGGCCAAAGATAGATGGGATAATTTAAAGTTAAGAAAAACTGGCTAGCAACAAGCTAAGCTAAGGCTGAGAATTTGTAACTAAGAATAAGCCTCTGTGTGTGATTTAATTGCGAGCTGGGTGGCAGGCCCCCAAAAGACCAAAGAGCAAAGAGTAAAGAGCAAAAGAGTAGAAAAAACAACCAACAACATTTTGGTGCCCAACATGGAGCTAGAGTAAAAGAAAAACCAACAACATTTTGGTGCCCAACATGGGACTAGAGTAAAAGAAAAACCAACAACATCTAGACTTTTAACACTCAATATCATGGTACTTGTAAGTGTATCATTAACAGATAATGTGAAGTTTTCTTCATTGTGTGTGTGTGTGTGTGTGTGTGTGTGTGTGTTCAATGCATGTATAAAGATTGATAATGTCCACTTCTTTTCTGTATCAATAGAGATGGCTATGTGGTGTTTTGTTTTTGTTTTTTTTCCCTATTTATTCATTTATTTATTTTATTGGTCTCACCGTGTAGCCCTGGTTGTCATAGAACTCACTCTGTAGACCAGGCTGGCCTTAAACTCACAGAGATCTGCCTATCTCTGCCTCCTAGGTGGTGTGATTAAAGGCATGAGCCACCACACCCTGCCTTTTCTTCTCTTTTAATGTGTTATGCTGATGGTTTTGTACAATGAACCATCTTTGTGTTTCTGGGATAGATTCTTCTTGACCCTGATATAAATTCCATTTGTATTCTGCTGGCTTTTACTTTCTGGTATATATGTTTCAGATTCTTATATCTACATTTATAAAGCATTGCTTTCTTTTTCTGATGCCTTTACCTGGCCCCAGTGTCAGAGTAACTCTGATTTTCTTGACTGAATTAGAATGTGTAAAAAGAATTACTTTCTTTCTTATGAAAGAATGTCAGAAGTATTGGTGTTAATTTCTCCTTACATTTTGGGTAAAATCCACCACTGAAGGATATTTGATTACTTATTCAGTGCCTCTAATGACTAGTGGTCCTGTTTCATTTTATTTATT